CCACGGAGAGGACCGTGTGTCTGAGGTGGCAGATCCCCAGACTAACCCCCCATCCTTCTTCTGGGAGCCACACAGGGCCACATGTGGAGGGACCAGGTCTCGCCAGCTCCTTTGGGAAGAGATTAGTCAGCGTCAGGAGGGGGTCCCCTCCGCTCCATCCCCACAGTGCCTTCAGGCCCATTTGGGAGAATCCGTCAAAACAGGTAAACGTTTTAAAATGTTTTCCTTCAAGAGTTCTACATCTTCATTTTACTTAAAAACACTTGTGACAGAATAATACGGTTGTAAAGTTCAGATGTTGACGTTTCTGCATCGTGGTGTCAGTTTGTACCCGTCGCGCTCGTCTGAGACTCATTTCATCTCCTTGCTCTTTAAATCCAAACGACCTGGAGCAGGAAACGGACTCGGCTCCAGAAAAGGACACCAGAGCAGCCGTCTTCCAGATTCCAGGCGCGGGGAAGTCCAACGGTCACACCTCCATCCCCAGCAGGGAAAACCTCAGGTACGCCTTTTTCATTCAAAAGCCTGACGCCGTGTGCACGTCGGCTGCTGACCACGAGGTCATCTTTGGTTTTGATTCTCCGGCTCCTCAGAGCGGCGCCGCATCGAGGGGACAACCCAGCAGCCCCGAGCAGCGGGGGACTGTGGGACAGCAAGGACAGCGAGGGACCCTGCAGCACTGTCTGACTTTTACCGTCCTCCCAAAATGATGAAAATCAGAAACAACCGGAAAAATCCGTAAACTTGTAGTAAAACCAAAGTACAACCTCAACTCTTAACAGATTGAATTACAATCGATTGTAAACCTCATAATCCAATAACGTATTAACTATACAACACTTTTAATCTGATGGCACAAACATCTCAAAGAGGTTGGGCTGAGGCAACAAGGCTGTGAAAGAGGTACGTAAAAAAAAGAAGAACAGCTGAGGAGCATTTTACAATTCATTCATTTTCAACAGGTCAGAAAGAGAAAGAGGCCGAGTGTCACAAGTGAAAACTTATTCTAACATCATCGTAAAAAAATTAAAACGTCGCTAATATTTAATTTACATCCTGAGCCATTATCATATTTCATGTGCTGCAAAACAAGCACCGCAGCAAACAGCACATTATCCCATTAAACAGCGATCTATGTCCTGCCCGTCCACAAACTGTTCAACAGCGATCTATGTCCCGCCCGTCCAC